GTACGTATGGGGTTGGAGATGCATGTTCATTGGCATACACTGCGGACGCATACTACTTGGCAGTAGTACTTGCAGGACATATGCCCCGCATGCGTGTTTTCAAAGGCATACATCATACCTTGCCTCGGGGGGAATAAAGGCACAGCAATAACCTATTAAGGCACAAAAGCACAGGCCTAGATCCGCCAACATACAAATGCACTGGCATACATGCACATCCAAACAAGTGCCCGCATACATTTCACCGTTAGAGTGCGCATACATATTCACCGCTAAAGAAGCCCCCGCATACATGTTCACCTTCAAAGGAAGAGCAGGCATACCGCTAAGTATCAATGCACGGCGCGCGCTTATTTGACCTCCCCCTTAGAAGTGCATTCACAAAAGTGCACTCGCACGCGTGCATACGTAAGAATACAGCCGCAGACATTGTATATATATGCGCATGTTGATCCTTGTGGAAAAATAAAAAAAACGGAGAAAAACAAAGCGACACAAAAAGGTAAAAATGCAACACATCGGAAAAAATGAACAAATGTAAAAAAAAAAAAATGCAACACACATATACAAGCGTGTGAAAAAAATACGCTGTAATGTGACGGAACAAAAAAATACAATAATTAAATAAAACAAGAATACATTTTGGTATAACGGTATCACGCATTCGCTTTATGAGAAAAATGAAAAGCACACAAAATAAAATAACGAACAAAATTATCTATAAAAATGAACAGCTGAAACATAGTAAGAGAAAAAAATTAAAAAAAAAAAAAAAAACTAAAAAACAGCAGAAAGCGTATTCTTCCATAATATACAAAAAAAAAAAAGAAAATGTTACACAAATGTTGTAATGAATACTTGGCAAAAATGCGCATTGGCAAAATGGTTTATTGAAACATATATATGTATATTATATTCTGTAGTTGTGATCTTTTACAAATTTAATTCGAAAAATCGACACCAGTTCGACCGTATGATTTGATTTATGTAATTTGTACCTTATTTTATTGTACTGTTTTTTTTTCCCATGCTTTGTTACATTTTTTTTTTTTTGACGGCAAATGGACGGCGAGAAAAATAGTACAAAATTCAACATCGTTGGTTTAATATCTGGGGGTAAGGACAGCATTCAGAATTTGATTTACTGCTCCAAATATGGTCATGAAATTATCTCATTGGCTCACCTTATACCATACGAAAATCAAAGTAACCACACTGGCCGGCTTGTTTAGAGATACGTGCGTCGTTGTTGCTGCTTGGTGCGCGCGTGAGGCAGTCTATTAGTGCCTTCGAACGTAAACATGATTTTGTACATGTGGATGGATGCTGCACACACAAATGCACACCTTCATTTGAGGGGACATTGGTTCCGCGCACATATGTATTCATACGCACAATTGTCCATTTGGTGTATTTGGCTGGGCTTGCGTGTAGGCCCTCCACCTGTTAGCGCTCGGCCGCGCATATACTAACACATGTGGATGCCACTTTGCACAGGGACATAAAGATCAGCGAGTCCCCTTTCTGTTTTAAGACAGGGAGCAAGCACAATATAGAGATGCCCAGATAAACGCAACACGTGTTTTTTACTCTTTTTTTTTTTTTAATATGCTTGATGGCGCATTTGTTCTGTTTGTACTTATAAGGATACTTCCTTTTTTGGTTTATGTGTTATTATGTTTTAATGCAGTGCATGAATTCACTTTTTTGTTTCAAAAATTGGGCTATACTTTGTTTTTTTTATGATTTACTAACATATATGAGCATGTACATTGTTGGTTTTTTCAACTGTGCGCATTGTTCTTCTTATTTTTAAGCGTTACACTTTTGTTAATATCGCTTATTTTGCTTTGGTTTATTTTTTTTTCGTACACTCTTGTGGCATTATTACGATGTTTTCTTTTGTTTTTTTAACGTTATCCCTTACATTGTTGTTAAAAAAAAAAAAAAGAAAAACGAATTTAAAACGTTTCATCCTTTTTTCTATAGAACATTATTTGATTAAACATTCGCTTACGAACAATCGCGCCTTTTTGTGAACATTGCAACATACGTACATAAGAGATATAAATACATGTTCTGTGACTTTTTTTTTTTTTTTTGCGTTTGTCTAAACGTAACCCCTTTCGTAGATGAGACTGACAGTTTTATGTACCAGAGCGTTGGATTTGAACTCATTCCTGAAATTGCAAAGTGTATGGAAAAGCCTCTCATTCAGCATCGAATTAACAGTACGTACTTGAACAACGCAATAAAAACGAAATAAACAAGTCTTCGTAGAAACCTTAACCCATGACGATGACGATTTCATTCATGTGCCCAACGCCTTTGCATTCATTTTTTCTTATTTATAATAATTTAAAAAAATCTATGCCTTCCGCACAATTTGGCGAACAAAAAACAATTAACAAAACAAAAAAAAAAAAAAAAAAAAAAATTTGACATTTGCGACATATATACGCGATTTCGAATATTGCAAAAATTATAAAATGTGACTGTAAAAATATGCGCTTGGTATTTGTTCCACTCAGGGAAGGCAATAAATGTGGGCTTGGATTATGTGTACAATTCTAATGACGAGGTTGAAGACTTGTATGAGTTGCTACTCGAGGTTAAGGTACGGGTGAGGGGACGGATGAATTTTGTGCAGCCTATACATGGTGGTGCTTTCGTGTGGTAGTCATGCACTCATGTGAAACGCTACTCATGCGGTGCCTTTCATTATTACTCTTTTGCATACGCTTAATCATGCGCACAATTTTGTACGTCCATGGGGGTGGTTATTCTTCCTTTTTTTTTTTTTTTTTTATAGACTAAGTACCCTCACGTAAATGCAGTATCATGCGGGGCGATTCAGTCAAATTATCAGAAAAAGCGCCTGGAGCACGTGTAATGAAATCGATTACATTTTTACATCGCTCGTTAAGAGCCTTCATACGTATCTTTTTTTGGACACTCTTGGGACAACTCCTTTTTTTTTCTCTCTCTTTTTCACGTGCATTAACTGTTTATTTTATGCCGACTTGTTATACATTTTCACGTCATTTTTTTTATTTTTGCCACCGCGCAGATGTCAAAGGTTAAATTTACAAATTTTGGCTTACTTGTGGGAAAAGGATCAGGTACACAGGAATTTTATCAAGTGGCAACGATAAGCACTGTAGTGTTCGCGTACACCTGAGTGAAATTCTCCGCTTCGTACTTTGTCTCATTCATTTTGTTTTGCTTTGCTTTATATTTTTACTCGCACCGCAGAAAGAGCTGCTACAAAATATGATTCAGGGCGGACTGGAGGCCATACTCGTGAAAGTAGCTGCTTACGGTAATGTCTCATGAGGAGAGAAAACAACAAAATTATTTTGTATGCCCATACGATACGTAGTGCATGGCATGTGTGCATATGGCATGAGCGTGAGCGTTAAAATAGCTAACCAAAATGGAACGTCGACAAAAAAAAACTAATGAGAGAAAAATGCGGACAACCATGTACACACGCTAAAACGCTCTCAAAATTATTTTACCATGTGCATTTGATCGCCGCCGTATTTTAGCCGTTTTCACTACCTCCCCTGTGCATCAACCCCACCACCACGGCTGCTAACACTGCAACGTTGTCGTCTATGCATTTACACCACTGCCTCTGATATATTTTTTTTTTGTTCCACTGCACCCCCCCCCCAAATGTACGAAGGCTTAACAAAGGAACACGTGGGAAAATCGATAAAAGACATGTACAGCTATCTCGAAATGATGAGTGACAAATACGGATTGAGCATATGTGGCGAAGGTGGAGAATATGAAACGTGCACTTTGGATTGTTCTCTTTACAAGCACAAAATTGTAATAGAGGAGTATAAAATAATTCAGCACACAGACGACATGGTGTGCCCCGTGTTTTTATTTAAGCCTTTGAAGTGGAGACTTGAGAAAAAGAGTCTCTAACATTTGGCCCTATACTGCTCGCGCCTTGTGCAAATATATGTGTTTGTGTATATATATATTTATGTGTGTATGCATACCTTTTGGGTCACGTGCAACCCCGGGGAACTGTTTACTCCGCACGCGAATAGGCGCGCACAGTGTTCTGCACACAGGCTCAACAGCCATCATTTGACACGCGGTGTGTACCCTTTGAAGGCGAACACTTACGCTTTTTCTTCACATTAGATATTCTTCCCTTTTTACACACTATGTTTTGTCATCCTTGTTTCCTGTTCCCCTTTCGTATTGGCTTTTTTTATTTTGTCTCGACTCCAATTCATATTAAAACAATATTTTTAATTATGCAACTTTGCAAAGGTCATTTGGTAGTTATTTAACATAGGAAGGTGTGATGGAAAAAAAAAAAAAAAAATGCAGCACTTACAACTGCACACACAGCACAAGCATATGCCTCGCTATGTGTGTTAAAAAAAGGTATTCTACAGGGAGGAATTCCCCACGTCAAAAAATGAAGATGGGCTTATATATGCTTTACCAGGTGGTTGGTACGCAAGACTTGAACGAGCTGACTCGCTTTACCAGTACACACATACGTAGGTATATATACATAAGCCAGAACGTACAAACGAATAAGAACATTTGTGGGCTACTACCTACGTACAAAGGCGAAGGCGTTTCTTCGAACGAAGTCGCGAACGACGTTGGTACTCCACAAACATCCATGTGACTTTGGGCGCGCATCCACGGAATCTTCATGAATACATTATACATGCACAAATAAGCGTACGCAGGTACTGCATGTCCCCATCCGTACACACACATAGTCACATGCATGTGTGGTGACAGAAAGGATGGACGCCAAATATTGTGTCCGCATCGGACACTGCACGGTAAAAAAAAAAAAAAAAAAAAAAAAAAAAAAAAAAAGCGAAAAAATCGAAAAAATTGAAAGCACGCAATGCAGCGCGCGTGAAATGTAACGCAACCGAACACTGCACGACCAAAGCGCAAAAAACAAAAATCAAGGGGAACTCCCACGCAAACCCAGATCGGGTCAATCACAGGGGCAATTTCTGCAAGCTGTAAATATACAACTCCTGTGCATTCGGAGCGAGCATGTGTAGCAGCTTTCTCTTCTCCAGCAGTTTACTAAACAGCTGAATATACGGCCTTATTGTGTGTATAGAATTTGCCTCTGAAATTTTATTGATGTGCTTGTTAATGACATTTTTGATGTCGGGAAAATGTTTTAAAAAATTGCTAGAGCAGTTTCTTAGGCATTTATTTTTGATATCTGTGAGTATATATTTTGTTGTGATTTTCGAAATCATCAGTTTATTTTTTTCTTCGTCCATTTGGTTTACAGGGTAGCTTGCGTTTGGGTCTCGCAGGGTATTTCCCCCATGGGACAACAGCCTTGCGTCCATTTCACCCACCCTGGACTGGCCCTCACTCATGATTTCATGGCCCACTTGATCACTTAACATATAACCTTCTTGCATAATTGCCCTTTTCATATCTACGCCGTTTCTATGATGGTATTTACCGTCCACATACAACTGGGTTGCGTACTGATTGTTAGCTCCGAAATTGTCACTGCATCCATATTGGCTAGTTTCCTTCATGGGATCGTTGCTGATGGAACTGCATTGTTCCTGTAACGTGTCTCTGCCGTCATTGCGGAAGCGATTTATCTGGTCGGCGCTGTGGTTACTCCCATTGTTACTACTGCTGCTACTGCTACCGCCACTGTTCGCTGGGATGAAGTGCCTGCCCTGTGTGGCCATGCGGTTCACTAGGACGCCACCGTCATCTACGCCGCCCCTACTGTTATTCCCACCACCATCCATGGGCCCTTCCCTGTTTATATATGCGTTCATAGCATCATTCAGTTGGTGATTATTAGGCACGATACTGCTGGCGTCCACTGGGCCTCCTTGATTGTTACTAATGATGGTGCGCAACTGGGTAGTCCCACCGCTTAGAAATTTCTTATCGCTCAAGAATGTTGATGCCCTCTCGCGACTGCAATTATGTTCGGTCATCTGGGCGCTCCTCTTAAAATAGGATGCGTCCTTCTTCACTTGCCCACCAGCACAACTCTTATCGCAATTGGTGTTGCTTGACCCATTACCATTTTGCAACCCCTCATAAGTCAGTAAATTATTACCGTCTTTCGCGTTTGCGTAGTTGTGCACCATGGGAGTTGTCGCAGCCAATCGAGGGGACCCACTGGGAAAACCATTAAGCTTGGCATCAATTGGGGGTTCTTCATTTTTCGAGTAGGGGATAGTACCATTATTAGCATATTCAACGGGGGTTATTATATTCCCTCTGTATGTAGTCCTCGCTTTGGTAAAAGGAGGACTCGTCTTATGTGTACCCCCACTAGTAGCAGCATCACCACTTGTGCTGCGTAGCAACAAATTATAGGCGTTCTGATCTTGCGCAGGTTCCGGGCCGGCCAAATGTTCACTGTTTGAAAATGAGTTTGTTCCCGCAGAGGCACCATTCTTAAATTGTCCATAATAGAACTGATTTGAATCTTCTTTGGTGACTTCTCGTTGGTTCCTCTCTAGCCGTGCATGCAAATTCTTGTTAATCACTTGTATGTAAAAATTGCTATTAATTAGGTTACAGTAAAAGTTGTTGTTCTTTACTCGATCGTTGCTCAGTTGATTGTTGATGAGCTTATTATATAATTGGTTGTTCATGAGTTTGTTATAAAGCTGTGTATTTATTAGGTAGTCTCTCTTCCCACTTGATTCCTCCACTTTTTCGTTCTTCCCTTGTTCTGTGTGCATCACATTGTTTTTGCTTTGCTGGGTCGTTTTACCACTATTCATATGTGCATCGTTTGCTTTACCCTTAAGCGTGCATTTGGCGGAAAATTCGTTTGCCCTCAGTATTTTTTGCTGATCCTTTGAGCCCTCCTCCACTCTCTGCGGATAAATTACACCACGATCGCTCTGCTCTGGGGGGGAGTAATCTCGGTTCAGCGGTTCCACGCTGTGCAAGTGTTGAGTCTGGCCACCACTCAGGGGAGGACTACTTTGATGACCGACATTTTGGGAAACCTTAATCGGATTAGCCCTACCTAGCGAGCCATGCCCTGGATCTCCTTTCTGGGCACCAACTAAGCGGCTGTCTAATTTTGCGCTCTCATTTTGGGGGAGCTCCCGAGGGAAATCCACCTCTTCACAATGCTTTCCTCTCCCCTTGGGTTTCTTTCTGATCGAATGGCTTTTCCCACTGGGTTTCTTATCACCAAGTATTCCGGTAAGCTGTACAACTTGGCCAGAAGAATGATTCTCGCCGCCATAACTTTGCCTCCCTTTAGATTGGATCTCAGGCTGAGCCCCTGACTGGCTACCAGCCTTGTAACCAAACACCTGATCCGTACAAATATATTTGGTGTTTTGCTTTCGACATTTAATGGCTAGCAACCTGGCATTATGAAAGCCATACCTTTTAACAGAAAAATATTTGTGTATCGTTTTACAATTTGACCTCCAGTGGGACACCCACAGTTTTTGTTTTTTGTCATAACTCACACCTGTGATTCTGGGCAGATGCTTCAGCTTCTCGTGCAGTTCGTCCTCGTCCTCCCGTTCGTGCTGTTCTGCTTTACCCTTTTTCTGCACGCCATTGGAGTTATTGGAAGGGGTGATGGTGTTCGAAGTAACATTCGAGGCGCTAATAGCAGTGGTACTACTTGCAGCGTTATTCGTCGCAGCCCTGGAAGTAGTCCTCCTATTACCAGCTCTCCTCCTTTCCCTGTGCGTCCTTCTATTTGTACTATTCCCCTTTGAAGACCCCCCGGTACCTGCTGTCTTCCCATCATTTGTAGCGCAAGTATTAACTGCATGGCTGAAATTGTTGGCAGCTACGTACTGCATTTGTCCCTTCCCCATCTCACACGTAGATTTATTCTCGCCGTAAAATGGGTTCACATTGTTGCTTGTTACATTTGCATTTATGAAGGAACTTGCTAGTCTATTCATGTCCGCATTATTTACCTTACAGTTGGTTTTCCCTTGACCGTTAAATAATTTTACAGCATTGTCATTTACGGGATTATCGTTCTTGAATTTTATATCACTGTCTTGGAAGTCACTCATGACGGTCCCGTTCGTGCATTTGGCACCTTCCGAATGGATATTAGCATTGGACATCTTAAAGGTGGTCACTCGTTGTGTATTCTCTGGGCACACAAAAGGTGTAGCAGTTCCACCCATTTCTTTGTTAATCAAGATAGCACTTTCGCTTTGGTTCATACTCCTCATGCGTTCTCCATCTGTTGTGTTCTTCGGCATGCTGTTTGGGATAAAATCTTTAATCTGAGTTTCACACCCCTGGATGTTGTCTTTGTGGGGATCCCTTTTGGTGTAGCAGGGGGTGTTCACCATGTTAACGTGGCTGAAGTCGTTAGTGCTGTTAATGCTATTGATGCTGTTAGTATTGCCAGCACCGTTAACTCTGTTCATGTTGCTTACGCCACTCATATTACCCACGTTCCGAGCACTCCTCACTGTGGTCACGCAGCCAGAACCGTTAACGCCATTCACAGTGTATCCTTTGGAGTTATCTTCCGTGTTACTTGCACACCTGTCCGAGGTTGCACAATTTGGTGTACTCGAACCGTAACCACCTAGGAAAGAAGACAACTTAGCAGAAAGGTTCCCCTCGTTTGTATGAAGCACAGCATTATGATTATCGCTGTTGGGCCCATTGTCCCTTACACCTCCTCCACACACAGTGTTGCACATAGCATCGCCTACTGTATTGCTTCCGTTCGACGTTCCCTGTATGCTTGATGCGTTAGATGGGCACCCAACCACATTTGTACCGTCAGCGGTACTTACGGAACAATTGTTAGTAATCATGTAATTGCTACATTCGTGTGGAACATTGGGGGCATTGAGCATACTGACTTCGCTAGCAGTGTTGCCATCTCTGCTGTTGATTAAACTCTCACAGTGTGTAAGGGAGCCCACATTAAAAACCCCATTGTTGGTGTATGTACTAATATTACTTACGTTTCTTCCGTTCTCAGTGCAGCCACACCTAAGATTACACTGCGCCCTAACGTCGTTTTGTGTTCGCATTTCTTTTTCTTCCTTCGTATTGCTACTGTTCATAACACAGCCACTACAATTACTAATACTATTACTGTTACCATAAGGCAATATATCTCCTGAATCTGAGGGTCCTCCCCCAGAGGTGAGCAACTCAGTAGCAACGCAATTTATGTAGCCTTGATAATCTTTGATTACATTCCTTTTATTATCACACCAACCTTGTAATGTAACGTGCATCGTAGGTGGGTTTGAATCTCCATTTACGGTACCATAATCGTTTGGCAATTCTTCCGAGGTACCTATCGTAGAGAACGCACTCACTTGGCTGGAAGTACCATTCATGTAAGCACATTCGTCTGATACGCCGTTCGGTCCTCCTTCATGTAGATGCCTAGGGTGCAGCTGCTGGTGCTGCGCCTCCTGTGGGTGAGAACTACTATTGCTGCTACTGCTGATGACTTTGCGCTTCCCATGACTCACTTTTTCCCCATCTGCTCTACTCACATAGAGGAAGCAATTCTCAAATTTTTTTTTCTCCTCTAAATCTTCGCACTCAAGAGTAAAATTTTCGTGATGTTTTTGCTCACACCCACTACTATAATTGTCAATCGTAATTTTCTGGCCGCTCTTTTTTTTATTACTATCGTGCCCCTCGTGTAATACAATACTGCCCAACGGATAGGTGCAATTTTTTTTTTTTTTTTTTATCTCTTTCATTTGGCTTACTGCACTAAGTTGTGTTAGCTCGTTTTTCATAACGTTCCTGCCAGTGCCACTTGTTTTGTTACTCACGAAATGTGGCACACCCTTGGAAGAAAATAAAATATCTAATATTTTTTTTTGTTTTTTTTCCAATTCGGTGGCTAACTGTGCCTGGTGCAACTGTTGGGGGAAATAGGATCCGCGCGACGTGAGCGAAGCGCACATGTTTTTCATTTCATGCGACCCGTGCGCCTCATGAAGCGAGCAACACATTTCGTGCGTTTTACTTTTTTTACAATTGATACGAACGCATGTATCACCCGGGACGTCATCACCACTCCTCCCCATTGATATCTCATTCGCACTAGCCAATTCAACATTGCGCATTTCCGGATGACTCTTTATTACCCTAGTGTCGCGCTCACTACCGTGCATCTGTGCATTAGGATAGAGTGCATCCACCGCTACGTTCTCGTTATGACTCGTTACACCTTGTCCCTTACCATTTTGTTCACACATTTCTGTATGATTGTTGGTTGTTCCCAGTTCTTCCTTCGGGGGATGCCCATCAAAATTACCCATACTGGAGTAATTTGGATTAGCTGTCATCTTGAACGCCTGTCTCTGTTTGATCGAATTGGCCTCCCCTATTGCACACTTTTTTTCCTGACCTCCCCCTTGGACGCGCCTTGGTAGGCTATTTTTACATGCACCTCTCATTTTATAATTAGTGCTCATCTTGAGCAGTTCGTTCCACTGGTTGGTATTGACGTGTCCTCCGCTAACTTGGCTACTCTCACAACTCGGCTGGGGAATGCGGGTTGCTGTCCCGCACTGCCTGTTGCCGCGGCTGGCCTCCTCACCACTAACACTGCCATGGTTCATGTGCACTTCACCGAAAGTACCGTCTAAATTAAAATTCAAATTCATTCGTTTATTAACATCACATGCACCAACCATATGAATGTTATTTGCCTGACTGGGTAAATCGCCCCTCACCTGATCGATCCCTATGCTGCTATTACTATTGATACCCAAATGACATGATTTATTTTCGTTTCCATTCTTCTCAACATGGTTAAGGGGAATGTGTTCTATGAAGCTACATAATATATCACTGTCCTGTTTATCGTACATATTTGGAATCGGAATTTGCTTCCTTTGGCAGTCTTGGCTGAGACGATATGTGTTGGCTAGCGGTAGAGAAATGTTACTATGACTGTTGTCCCGGTTGCAAATGGGTTGCTTTAAACTAATGTTCTGATTATAACTTTTACCCTGCGTTCTGTCCACATGCTCATGCTCAAGTTTAATGACATTGTTGTGAGTGCCCACATATGGACGCTCTTGTACATGGGGGTGAATATCCCTTCTAATGTTGTCATTTCCATTTGCCTGTTCAAATTCCATTTGGTCCAACAGCGCCGCTTTCCCTGAGGTAGGCACCTTAGAATATGTCATCAGAAATGGGTCGACCTTCGTTTTGGCCTCACTTTTTGTATTTCTATGTTCATATTGGCCATTCGGATCTAGGTAGTTGTTATCAAATTGGATGAAGCAGCAGGGGGACTTAATCGAGTTGTTGTTAACAGGACTGGCTTGCGCTGCAGGGAGGCCACCGCTGCCATTGCCTCTACCGCTGCAGTACTTGTTCATGTCTGAAAGAGGCATAACCTTCGAGGGGTTGACTTTATAGCTATGAAAAAGTTCATACCTCTCAGACGGTTGCCACGTTTTACTGCTATCGGGGGGCGAGTTCATCTGGGCAAAATCTTTTTTCTCATTTGCCATTCCATAGATGCTACGCGCGTGAAACTCCCCTGCCCCCTTGTCACTAAGCCTGGTTGGATTTATATTTTGAAAATTAGCATTCATATGATGATCCCCGAGATTATTGGCTATGCCGATTGGCTCCATCTTCTTTTCCTCCCGTCCGCACAACATACCTTTGCTCTCATTCGACACACACTGATTTATTATACTCACATTCTCCATGAAATTATTGCTAATAATATTGTTACTAATTATATTATTGCTAATTATGTTGTTAATTATATTGTTGTTGATTATGTTGTTGTTAATTATATTATTGTTCATTATATTATTATTCATTATATTATTGTACATTATATTTCTTTTTAGTAAATCTTTCATTTCGTTGCAGCCATACTTTGTGGAAGAAGAATTACTTGACTCGTTTAGGAGATTTAATTCAGAACATAGATCATTCTCCACACTGGAAAAACTGTTACAAGAAATTAAATCCACATTTTGTATGCTGTTATGGTGTGCATCATAATCAGTATTGTCTGCCAAGTAAGAATTATTTGTGGTCGTGCCATCATCGCAATTATTGCTTTGTTTTGTGCTATTCCTTCCATAACTGATCTCACTACACGATTTGTTACCTCCAAAGCAGACAGAACTAAATTCATCCGAGTTGTCCTTCTCTTCCTTAAAGTACATTTGTCCCGTTTCGTACATTCCATTTTCTGTTGTATTTCTCTCATTTGAGGGCACAGTAAAGGGGTAGTTCGGAGCGCTTTGAAATGTGCTAAGTAGACAATTTTGGGGAAAGGTATTATTATGAATCTCTTTATTGCCATATCCTTTGACGTCATGGAAGATCAGGTGGCTCCTCCCATCATTTTCATTAATGTGGTAGTGTCCATTATCCTGTGTAAATCCACCTGTATCATTTTCACCTCTTGCATTATTCATAAAAGTGGGCATGTCGCAACTGCTAGCTCCATGGATAGTAAAATTTTTGTGGCTATTATCCGTTGCGGCATTCACCAGGTTTACGTTGTTTTTTTTCCTACAATGTGTAAAGTGTTCCACTTGGTTCTTGTATATATCTTTATACGTGCCGTACTTTGCAAAATCAGCACCCTTCTCAGATTCGTTCACTTCACTGATCCCATAGATCATCCTATTTTGAGAATGCATATATGGACGTTTGTTTTGGTTTGCCTCTACTTTGTTGTGCACCTGGTTGTGATAAATCTCCCGAGGTGTGTCGTCCATGTGGTTCGCACTGGGGCACTGAAACCAGTTAGCAGCATTTGACCCGTTTGGTCCGTTTCGTACACTGCCGCCGCGTAACATAGTACTGATGTTACTATACATTTGCACGTTTTTATTGCCGCTATGTTGGTAATTATTGTTCACGTTGTGCTCATTGTACATGTTATTCCCCTCTGCATTTTGCGTGCTCATGAACTTTTTGTGTTTTATGGATACCTGGCACTTGACGTTTACGTTTACGTTTCCGTAATTGTATGGTGTGCTCATACTGTCCACTGGCGCGCGTTGCGTAGAACACCTTTAGGGGCGAAAAACATTGGCGCACATGGGCATATGTGCGTTTGTGCGTGCATATGAAGATCCGCGCGCATGTAGATGTACGGGTGGCCCTCATATCTTCGCGTGCATGCACCAATATATATTGCTACCTGCACTGAGGTCAGCCCTCGTGTGCGTTCAGTGGGGTTTTTAATTTGAAAAAAACAAGTCGGGTAGAAGCGGTCAAAGGGGGGCAAAATTTTGGCTATAATTGGCTAAAAAATAGCCGTATTTTTTGGCGCTGTTTCGGCGAATTATCACCATATTATGAGCAAACTATATACCAGCATCATGTCATGGAAAAACGCGAGAAAGGATTTCCCTTCCTCCGTTCCACCTCCCCATCTCAAGGTAACAAGCAAAGTCATTCACAATGTCAACTTAATTTGTTTTTGCCCTGAATATTTTTGTAAGCATATCATGACTAATTAACATCAGGCAAAAAAAAAAAAAAATAAGGAGTGTGTAAAGGGCATTCCGCGCACCCATTAGACGCCAAAAAAAAAAAAAAAAAAAAAAAAAAAAAAAAAAACTGCTAGATGGTATGACAGGAAAATTTTCTTTCCTTTCCAGTATTCGCCAAACTTGAAGTCAAGTCCATCATTAGTATGTTGGACCTCATCAGAAACAGATGAATGAGCCAATTTTTTGTGTTTAAAAATGTTGGGGAAAAAAAAGGGTTAGCTGATAAGGACATTGTGCTATCGTTACTGTTATCCTTATTGTGATCTTTATGTTATGCGCTCTGTTAACGTTCACAGCGCAGTATCGCACACATGTGAAAATGGTATACCAGCTGGTTGCCAAGGACAGAGGCCAGTTACCACACACACACACATACACGCTCACGAACATTTACAATCGCAGCGAACCAATGTCGGTATAGCTAAACGCATGTACCATCCGAATACACTTACCAGTAATGAATAATTGTACAAAAAAAAATAAAATAATAAGTAATAATAATAACCAATTATACAATAATGTAGAATACGGGTGTACGGGAAGGGACTAAAAGTACATTAATAACTCTTCCTAATGAACTCAAAAGAAATGGTTAACGTACAAATGGGGAAGGAAATTCCCTTGTATGTGGACGAGGAGGTTTACACCCGGGAATGCACACATATACACACATGTACATTAAAGAAATGGCACAAGTTGTAAAATTTATTTAACACATACATATATACGTGCAATGTTACCAAGTAGATGGCCCTTTAAGTTTTCTTTTTTTTTTGGAACACCTTTTGATTATCCAAAAAAAAAAAAAGGAATGCATACATATATATTGTAGTGAGTATGATCATATATGCATAAAAAGGGTCTCCTATGCTTATATACATGCACGGGGTACCTTACACAATGCGCTCTTCCCAAGGGGGAAAAACATTCACTGGGGGAAAACGAACTGTGTCTACGATAATTCTATAACGATACTTTTTGTGAATGTACCAATTGAGCGGGGGGAAGGAGCAACACAACGAGTGACAAAACGTAGAGAACGTCAAAACAATGTCCATCCTTCAGCTATCAATTTGTTTTTTTTTTGTTTTTTTTTTGTTTTTTTTTGGTTTTTTTTTTTTTTTTTGTCGGATCCTTTGCTCATTTTTTGTTCTTTCCTTTTTAGCAAATACAAAAAATTATAACTATGCTTACGCCACGAACAGGTCCGTTTGCATATGTTCATTTGGAACAGGGGTGCCATATAACTACCCTTACACCTTGACGGCGTCACTCCCCTGTGTGTGTAGGTATATAGAACGTGGGGAATTACGTGTACATGTGCGCATTTGAATGTTGCCCTCTCAGTTTTCCTACACACGTTTGGTGCTCTATGTGCATTTTTGTTCAACAGTTCAGTGTGGCGGGTACCACAGATAGAATGAAATAAAAACAACATGTAAATCATGTGGAGATGACGTTGCCGTATTTTGGGACATGTCCCTTATCGAACCACTAAAAAAATGAACTTTATTTTTTTGTGTGCAAAGTGAGGACTTTCCCCCCTGCCACAGCACTACATATGCATGCCATACAAGAGTGCACAATGCTTATCCCTTGCTTCGTCCACATTTTCTAATTAGCTACGATTTTTTAAAAAAAACGGTGCTTTCCTCAAAAACGGACAAATTGGCTGCCCAGTTGGCACATTTTCAGTGTACTGTACCCCCGTTTTTTTGTTCATTCCAAGCCGGAAAAAAAAAAGAAAAAACCACGTACAATAGGGAAAAAATAACACCCTGTAACTGTAGCTGTTGATGTGAATGGAAAACAAGTGGAAACTCAAACACAAAGGCGAATGCGATTGCGATTATGATAGCGTATGATGATGCAAATGCCATTGTGCATCTTACCCAAATCGAGTGGAACTGTGCCGCTGTTTCTTTTTCACGCAAGCACTATCGCATAATTAACCTCACACGGAGGATGACAGTGGCCAGAAGAGCCCATACATATAGCTTCCCTTTTGCATACATATGACGTGCTGCCAACGAAGCGTATAATATCACAGGTGGATCTCCTCATGTAAATTTAAAAAAAAAAAAATAAACAAAATACATATATATATATATATATATATATATATATATATATACAGTTAAAAATAGGCCACGGGAAATTATGTAGCTTTTTATTGCTTCTGGATACACAGTTTATTCCATTCCTAAGTAGAGCAATAATTTTACTTAAACAGCTTTTTTTTTTTTTTTTATTTTACATGTATATGAATGAAATTACATGCATACACTTTTGTGCAATTTTTTTTTTTCCCACCTAAATTAATATAATTTGTTCCGACATTTCATATGTACATGAACTTCTTTCCTTCATGCATTAAGCTTAATTTCTTTATTTCCCTTTTATCGTATTATATTTCCATTTTTGTTTGTTCTTTTTTTTTTTTTTTTTTATTTTTTTATTTTTTGCATATTTTTGCATAACCATTGATTCAGTTTTCTTTTCTTGTTTTTTTCTTTTTTTTTTTTTTTTCACCCCCCCTGGTGAACTGATCACTCTGTTTCTTTTTTTTTTTTTTAAGATCTTACTTCACGGTAACGCGAATTAACAGGCATAAAGAGTGTAAGCAGATCTTGTTTGAACGTTTTCGTAATTATAAGTTTGTAGCATGCATAGGCATAAATGTTTGCATATGTTCTTTACATATATATGCATTCGTAGGCGCATGAGTTTGGAACGCACAAGCCCTTAGGCCCATGCAAGAGCGTCGTACGTAAAAAAGCCTGACCCCATTTTCTGCTTCCAACGCGACAAGTGAGACAGTACCTCGTGCACGTGTTAGAAGCAGAGAGAAGGGCTGCATGTGCCTATGATCAACATCGCGTGAGCATACATTGTGTAAAAATATAATTTAATTAGAACGGGTCAGCAGTAAAGCGCGCAGGTGTATTTTGTATATGTACATGTACATGCATATATACATGTGTATAATTGCGCTTCCCCCCCAAGTGTGTGCATATGCAAGAATTGTTTGTCCCAGGAAGGTCAGTGAGGGATAATTAATTGGTGGCGAGCGGTTATCCAGCAGTAATTTTGTCCTGACTGATCTGCTTTCGAAAATTAACAACCCATTGGGAGTGACGAAGCGGACGAAGGAAAAGTTCAACACGTACCCCCCACCCCACAAACCGCTGCAAAAATGAAACTCAACAAAGTGTTCCCCTGCGCACTACTCATCTGTGCGCTTCTCCCCAGTTGGGTACCCCAAAATTACAATGTGCTGTGCGAAAGTAATGAAGGAAAAGTAGAGGATAAGGACAAGAGTAAAGAAGAAACAAAGAAAGATACAGACAATATACCAGAAATTAGCGACAATGAAAAACCAACGTCAGGAATAGAACAACATCAGTACCAAACGGAGGTAACCAGACTGATGGACATAATTGTGAATTCCTTGTACACGCAAAAGGAGGTGTTTCTTAGAGAATTAATTTCCAATGCAGCTGACGCGTTGGAGAAAATTCGATTCATGTCCCTCTCGGATGAAAAAGTATTAGGAGAGGAAAAAAAATTGGAAATAAGGATATCAGCCAACAAGGAAAAGAACATTTTATCCATCACAGACACAGGAATTGGTATGACCAAGGAAGACCTGATTAACAATTTGGGAACGATCGCCAAGTCAGGGACTTCAAACTTTTTGGAAGCTATATCAAAAAGTGGAGGTGACATGAGTCTGATAGGTCAATTTGGTGTAGGTTTTTACTCTGCATTTTTAGTGGCAGACAAGGTTATTGTGTACACAAAGAATAATAATGATGAACAGTACATTTGGGAATCCACGGCCGATGCTAAATTTTCCATTTATAAGGACCCTAGGGGATCAACCTTGAAGAGAGGAACAAGAATATCGTTACACTTGAAAGACGACGCCACCAACCTCATGAATGATAAGAAACTGGTGGACTTGATTTCCAAGTACAGTCAGTTCATTCAATATCCCATTTATCTGTTACACGAAAATGTGTACACGGAGGAAGTTTTGGCCGATATAGCCAAAGAAATGGAAAACGATCCAAACTATGACAGCGTTAAAGTGGAGGAAAGTGATGACCCAAACAAAAAAACAAGAACTGTAGAGAAGAGGGTTAAAAAATGGAAACTAATGAATGAGCAAAAGCCTATTTGGTTAAGGCCACCCAAAGAATTAACCGATGCAGATTATAAGAAATTTTTCAGTGTACTCTCCGGATACAATGATGAACCTTTATATCACATACACTTCTTCGCAGAGGGAGAAATCGAATTTAAGTGTTTAATATACATCCCATCCAGAGCTCCAACTATAAATGACCAATTGTTCACAAAACAAAACTCCATCAAATTATACGTCAGGAGAGTTCTTGTGGCAGATGAATTTGTTGAATTCCTTCCCAGATATATGAGCTTTATAAAGGGAGTAGTAGATAGTGATGATCTCCCCCTTA